CCGTGGTCGCGTGCGGTCCTGCCTCCTAGCTGGTACCTGATTTTGGTCTGTGCATGCTGTGTCTAAGTTAAAACTAGGTCTACAGCAGTACAGCTTTTTCTTTGATCTTGAATCACCATTGTATAGCATTTATATATTTACTCCATCTGATCTAGATTCTAGGCTGTGGGGTACATTGACACACACCCTGGATCTATACCATTGTCTAAATGTTGCATCTATTTGATTTTTTCTGTGGGGTACATTGACATGGGCCTAATTTTGCAAAGATATCCATGTTATCTATATAGTTATTCTTTGTATTCCTTTCAGGTGCAGGCACCTCAGTGTAATGTCCAAACTCCACCTGAAGATGAACAATATTGCCCAACTGTTGTTGAAACGGATGACAAAATCCAGACCCCACCTGAAGATGAACAACATTGCCCAACTGTTGTTGAAATGGATGGCAAAATCCAAACTCCACCTGAAGATGAACAACATTGCCCAACTGTTGTTGAAATGGATGGCAAAATCCAAACTCCACCTGAAGATGAACAATATTGCCAAACTGTTGTGGAAACAGATGACAAAGTCCAAACTCCACCTGAAGATAAACAATGTTGCCCAACTGTTGTTGAAATGGATGACAAAATCCAAACTCCACCTGAAGATGAACAATATTGCCCAACTGTTGTTGAAATGGATGACAAAATCCAAACTCCACCTGAAGATGAACAACATTGCCCAACTGTTGTTGAAATGGATGGCAAAATCCAAACTCCACCTGAAGATAAACAATGATCCCGTCCCCAAACCCCTATCACAAAGTTAGTTCCTTCCATAGACAAGAAACAACACTTGGTGCTTCAGCACTGTATGAGGGGACTGAGGAAAGCATTTTGCTCCAACATTTTTTTACAAAGATTGTAGTATAGGTAGGTGCAGTTCACAAAATTACTTTGTACATTCAAATGATTTGACCATTTAAACTGAAATCTTAAATGTGACCCTCCACGACAAAACGACCAATAATTCAGAAATTTTGGTTTTTCTGATTTTAACTGAATATGAAAGCCCAGCTTGTAAGCTTTAAAATGATATAAAACTTGACCTATATGGACTATGCTAACCATCCAGAATTACAGCGAGAAGGCCAGCAAGTCTGTCAATGTGATGAGAAGAATAACAGAGAAAACGGGCTGTAAAGATAAGAGACAATTCAGAGTCTTAACTCTGTCCTATTGTCCAGTGGCAAAATACATCCACCCAAAACTCCCTAGCAACCGGTATGAATCGATTTCGAATGTGCAAGAGCGTCAGAAAGAGATCCGGAACGCAAGGAAAAACAAGAAACAATTATTGAAGGTGAGGAAGGAATTAATGAACGCTAAAAAGGACGCTAAACAGAGTTTGAAAGTGAAGGAAGACCCCAGTGATAGGGAGGCGGTTGTAAAGCGGTTGAAGAAGAAGTTGCGAGCGGCTAAAAACAGCCATAAAATAACACAAAAAGGGCTCAGAAAGAGTGAGAAACAGCTAAAGCATAGCACGTCACATCTTGACACCTTGAGACGGAAGAAGAAGGAGTTGTACAGAAACATCCGTGAAAAGAAAGAAGTGGGAAAAAAAGCGGGAGAAGAGAAGAAAGCGACATCTAGTTTGATAGCTGATTTGCGGAAAGAATTGAAAGAACTGAAGAGTGAGTTGGGTGTTGATGTCGAAGAGAGACCAACGACTTTCAAATCTAAACAAACGTACACTGCTAGTATAAGAGAGGTTTATCAGGACTTGATGGTAAAGCATGGGGTGAGCTCCACAACATGCGAGGGTGTTGTTAGGACTGTTCTGGAGGGGCTAACAGACATACCCATGGATGATGTAAAACTCCCCAAAACGACATCCGCATGCACCATAATGCTGGAAGGACGCAAGCTCGCCCAAGTTCAAGTTGCAAGAGCTCTAGCAGAAGGCAAGGACTTGACTATGGCAAGTGACGCAACAACCAAATTTGGACACCACTATTCTTCTTATGATGTCTTATGATGTCTACAAGGAATCAGATGACGGCAGCGGACCATCAGCCATGACGATTGGAATGAGAGAGAGCGAAGGTGGGACTGCTCAAATAGCGCTGGATACATTGCTGAGCATATTGCAGGAAGTCAGCGACATGCCAGGGTCAACGCACACAGTGCAGAAGATGATTGCAAACATCAAAAACACAATGAGTGATCGCCATATAGCCGAGAAAAAATTCAACAACCTCCTGAAGGAGTACAGAGAGTCTATTCTGCCGAACATTGTTGAAGGATGGGCTGACATGAACAATGAAGAACAGGCAAAGTTTGCTAGTATGAACGATTTCTACTGTGGACTTCACTTTTTGGTAGGGCTTGCCGATTATTCCAGTACTGCTCTTCAGACATGGGAGCGTATGATTTTTGGTGATGATAAAGTTGGCGCAGAGACAGTGCCTGGAGTCCATGTAGAGAGTGGGTGCGGTACCGTGCGTTTGGTGCGCACGATATGCAAGGCAGTACAGGACCGTGGGTGCGAGAAGGCAGGTAAACCCCTCCAATTCCGATCTTTCTTGCGGACAAAAGGGATCACATCTGTTCCTCTTGCTCCTTTCAAGGGGAACAGATTTGACATCATCTTCCACAACGGTGCCGGCGTTTTCTTTCTCGCCAAAGAATTGAAAGAATTCTTCCAGGAACATGCGGAGGGCAATCAACTGTTAAAGGCGGTGAATGCAGACCTTGGCGTCAATCAGTTTCTCGCAGCCGTACGTGCGCTCGGTCTAATTGACAAGTTGGTGACTGGCCCACTGTGGCAAGTCATAAACGAGCCAGGTCACATTGCTACCATGAACGAGCATTACACATCGATGCTTTCCTGCTTTGAAAGGTGGTCTGATGACTCCAGTGAGTTCATGCGCGGTGAAGATGTTCTGTTCGAAGGCAAACATGACCCTTTAGACCCCATCTTCACTGCACTGGTCACCCCAAATCCTGAGCTTGATCCTATGACCAAGCAGGTACTGGAAGTGCTCTTCCTGACATACTGTCAGGTAACCGAAAAAATGTTGGAAGATCACCTGCCTTCTGGAAAGCACTCTGAAATGGGAGAAGAGAAAGTGAAGGAGACAAAGAGTGTGCCGAAAACGAATGTAGGAGTAGAGCGGGACTTCGGTATGCTTGATAGATTGATGCGGTTGAAGCCATCTGCTGGTATGATGTTCGTAGAGAGCATCATTATGGGTGTGCGGAATAAGACAAGCGAATGGCGAAAGGGTCTCCATGTAACTGACAGAGAAAAGTTGATGGAGTATGCGAGAAAAAGCGTCAAGGCTCAGAGAGATGAGTATGCCGAGAGAGTGAAGCAGTTGTGGGATGAAAGAGCGGCGAAAAGGAAAAGTCAACAGGAGAAGGCTGAGGAACGCGAAGTGAAAAAATGTGTGAGAAGTGAAAGTGTGTATGTGACCGTGGTAGAGAAATGTGGAGGAATATGGATGTCGGAAAATGAGGTGCATGAAAGACTGCAAGGAGAGAGTGAGAAGAAGTGTAGTGAAATGCTGCAAGCGCAGCTTCAAGCGAGGAGGCATGTGTTTCGTGAGGCAAATGTACAAGGAAGGCTGAATGTCAGTGCAAAAGGTAAGAAGAAGAGTGTGCAAGAATTGAAAGAGTGCCTTCTCGAAATAATACGGGTTGCAAGTGAACGAAGCGAGCGAGAGGAGGATAGAGCAGAAGCGGAGTATGCGAGTATGTGTGCATCCGAAGAGAAAGTGGCCGAATATCGCGGACGGGTAGAAGAGAAACGGAGTAAAGTCAAGAGTCGAGCAAAAAAGAAGGCTGTGGAGAAGGACAGAGTGAAGTATGAAGAGTTAGTCGGGAAAATAGTGGATCACCTAACTGAGGGAGAAGGGGGGCAAGAAGAGTGGCATCGGGCCATTATCACAAGTAGAACAAGGAAGGGCCTAAAACTTAGTTACGATAGTGAACCTCGGGCTTCGTATGAGTACACTAGGAAACAAATAGAGGATGACCTGGATAATGGGGACTTAAAGATACCCAAATTGAGCATAAGAGACATTGTGGGGAGGGACATAAATCACAGGTTCGAGGTTGATGACGAGTTGATTTGGTACAGAGGGTATATTGATTCTGTGACTCGAGGGCAAGAGTGCATAGTACTCTATAACCCACTAGGAGAGGAAGGGTATGAGCTAGAAAGTTCATGGGAAGGGCCAATTCTCGAAGACTATGAGAATAATGATGTAAGATTTGTTAGGGAAATTTAATTAATTTCTTTATTTGGCAAGACATTAATCTACATCCATCACACTCGACCCAGGTGAAGTAAATGGGTACCGGTAGGAAGAAATTCCTTGAATGCTGTGTGCGCCTTATCAGGGTAGCCTAGCTAAGCCGGGTAATAATGACAATAAGCGCCTTGAGCACTCTGCAGAGTGGATACGTGCGCTATATAAATTGCATTATTATTATTATTATTATTATTATTATTTATTTGTTAATTTACCAATAGCATAAAAGGGTTCCGGTGGCGTACTTTCACTTAATGGGAGGGGGGGGGGGGCCTATAACATGTTTTTTTTAAATAGTATATTTCACCGTTAGGTCCTGCGGGCTGGGGTGGTGGTTGCGTGGTCGAGAGGAAGAAAGTGTGTGTAGTTGTGGCAGAGAGCTTTCGCCATTCGTTTTTCGTCTTATTCTGTTAAAGCTGGTGTATAGTTTTGGTAAGATTCAATAATATCAATTATATTGATCTGTTATGAAACACTCCAACTCTACAAAAGCATAGTGACCGTTACACCAATTTTTTACGCGTTGAATCTTTGTGAAAATTTGAATTTGACTGGTAGATCAGATTGAGCGCGATCTCTATCGGCAATGATATTATTTCCCTTATAAAAAGAAAAAACTTCCCGAAAAATGATTTCATAGATTTAGCTAATGTATGTCAGAAAGCCATACACGAAGATATTATCCTGAAATTTTTCCTCCACTTCCGTGCCTGTGAAGTTGTTTTATGTCAAAAATAACAAAAATACTCATTTTCCGGGACCCCGACTTTTGATATAAGACATTTTTATCGTAATACTATACACATTTTGATTTATAATGCTTTTTAGATCTCATTTATCTAGTGATATGTGTTTTATCATATACCCTTTCATTCTATCTTACAATAAATTCACACTTTGAAAGTCTGTATTTTCAGATTTACCAAAACTATACCCCAGCTAAGGTAGGTTCGAGGATAGATTTGAGGATAAAACTATACTCCAGCTAAGATAGGTTTAAAGATAGGTTATGGGGTGTGATCGAGAGGACAAAAGTGCTTTATGTTCGTTGGAGAGAGAGAGAGCTTGTTTTCATTTTGGGATAGTCTTTTAAAGATAGGTTATGGGGTGTGATCGAGAGGACAAAAGTGCTTTATGATCGTTGGAGAGAGAGAGAGCCCAAGTTACTTCCAATTACAGTTTCCTCGAACCTGTCATTTTTGTTTGATATTTAACCTTAACTGCACGAGAAAACAAAAATTGGTGTATACCATTTTTTTTTGCTATTTGTACTTGAATGCACATATTTATCATGAAGTTGTCTGCAGCACCCTTACATTGATTCATGGTTTATTTATGTCCATGTTTGTGTCGTGATATAAGACATTTTTATCGTAATACTATACACATTTATAATGGTTTTTAGATCTCATTTATCTAGTGATATGTGTTTTATCATATAACCTTTCATTATACACCGATACGGGCGAATTTTCATGGATGTGAGCCCTCTACGTTTATCATTACACGCTGGGGGGCTTCTATCAGCTTGCGCTTTCATCTTGCATGCAACGATCATTGCTTTCTCACAGACAAACCACTTATTATTCCTTGCCGCTTTCGGACATTTCAACTTCATTTTGTCTAAATTTATTTCATTTACGATGGATGAATGGGTAGATGATGTCCGTCATTGGCCTAAATTGGAGTTTCAAGGTATGTTATTGCGATTTAGAGGCGAGTTTTGCGTGCGTTTTCGGCAATCGAAGTTTGGGAGACGCCGTTGTAACGGTGTCCCACATATTCATTATCGTGTATGTTAACATGCAGATGATTTTATTGAATTGAAGAGAGTGAGAGACGGAATGATTTAGAGTTAAAATATAAATAATTCAAGGAATTTCATACAATAAATGTGCAAGTTTAATCAATTGCATTGATGAGAAGTCTGATAATCTTTCATGAATTTGTTGTGATTTGCAGTTTTCAGGTTTTTTTTTCAGTTTTCCCTCGCCGAAATCTCCTAAATTTTTCAAATATTATCAGGCTCACAGGTTGTCTGTCTCAATTGCATAATTCACATTCCTATTTCAAAGTCTATGCTAATGATATGGGCTGGGGGGGGGGTAGGGGGTAGGGGTGAGGGTAGGACTGGGAGGGGCCAAGGCAAAGGGACAACAACAAAAAAAAACTAAAATAAAGGCATGCATAAGGAATGGTGAGTCCCTTGGTAATGTGCAATTAGAATTAATAAGCGTTAGAAAAAAAAACAAGTATAATGTGTGTATTTTTGTGTCTTTCCTCCAGATATCTACGACTACTTTGTTACCATGCCAGCTTGTGACAACCAGCCGAATCAAAATTTTCGCAGCATTAGTGAAGGTATAAACTATCTGCATTCAGGATGGGTTGGAGTCGTGATGCATAAGATGTCTGGGCAAAACGTGATTCTACGCTGTCAAGTACGATATTCACAGACAATTGGCAACTACCATCAAGTAGAAGTGACCGTGAACCGGAATGAAAGTAAGATTGTAGCGGTTAAGTGCGACTGCATTGCATCAGAAGGACGATGTTGTAGCCACAGTGCTGGATTGGCTTTCAAGGTGCATGAAGCGAACAAGAAAGGCTTTATCGGCGTAGCGTGTACTGATGTATCCTGCAGTTGGAACCGCAGCACGCAGCAGAATGTTTTACCGGACACGGTTCTAAACATTCGCACGAACACCAAAACTTCGATGGCCAACACAGTGTTAGCTTTTGAGACAGATGAGCTCCTATTGGCCCATCTCAACCAGCCACACATGCAGAGTTTGTAGTCTGTTCCCGGGACGATTCTTCACCATATGCAGTCGGCCAAGCCACAATCGTCTCATTCTGATCGGGTCAGGCCAACAGCTGAAGTTGTTGACCATGGAAATCATGCTATACCACTGGAGTGTGCTCCATGCAGAAAGCTGTTTGAGGGGTATGTGCAGCTGACAGAAACACAGGCGAAATCCCTTGCTGAAAAAAAACTGTTAACCAAAAATCAGCACTCTGGACTTCGCAAAGAAAACTGCGAATCACCAGTAGTTCAGCCGCAAGTGTACCGAAACGTCAGGAAACGGATCCATCCAAATGGATAAAAAACCATCTAGATCCAACTTTCAGAGGAAATGCAGCGACAATTCATGGACAACAGCATGAAGATATTGCTAGGAAGCAATTTGAGGAGGAGACAGGGTGTCATGTCGACCAAGTTGGTCTTCTAGTGAGGCCAGAGGACAGTTGGTTAGGTGCCAGCCTTGACGGTCGTATTGATGAACATTCAATCCTAGAAATTAAGTGTCTGACCATGCAGCGACTTTCCAAGTACAAGTCTCTATCTGGACTTTTTGCAAGTGGAACTTATGATATCAGGAGGAGGGAGAATGGGGAGAACTACTTGCGGCAAACAGCTGCTGCCAGTGGATACTACATGCAAGTACAGGTTGCTATGTATTGTGCCAAGGCAACAATGTGTAAGTTCATGGTTTGGACAGAAAATGAGGCGGTAACTGTGGACGTACCTTTCAACCAGGAGTGGTTCAGCCAGCAATATTCAAGACTGAAGGAATTTTATTTCATGAACCTCCTCCCTGCCATCACAGATGCTGTAAACTCACAAACTCTAAGATTTGTTAAGCTTGCACAATAGATTGCTGTGTTCATGCTTTTCCATGAAAATCTCTAATTGTTTTATATTTCTGTAATCAAAATTATTTTGACAATGGTATTTCCCCCTGCTTTTTTTAGCATTGATGCTTGGAAGGACCCCTGCTCCCCTTTGAAAAAAAAGGAATATACAGTCCAACCTCGTTATAAAGAGCACTGATATAACAAGATCTTGTTATAACAAGGTAGTTTTCCTGGTCCCATCTCTTTGTATTTTTTATTATATTTGGGCCCTGATATAACAAGGTTTCGATATAAAGAGATAATTTCTCTGGTCCCAAGGACATCGTTATAACGATGTTTGACTGTATTATGTAAGTGTTTGGTTGTTATAAATTTTTAATTATAAGCTGGGCGGTGTTTCACCAAATCGCTCTTAAAGTTAAGAACGACTTTAAGAAAGACTGGAATACGTTAATGGGTGTAATACTTATTAGATTCTCGATCATTCAGCACAAGAACCAATACCAGTCGTTCTTAAAGTCATTCTTAAAGTCTTTCGTAATTTGGTGAAACATCGCCCTGGGTTGTGTTTCATAAATATGTTGATAGAGGTATGCACGACTCTGCGAACGACTGTTGATCCTCTCTCAGGTGCTAAGTCAACCACATCGCGGTCACTGAGCGCAGGAAAGGATCACCAGTCGTTCGCAGAGTCGTGCGTACAACTACGAACATCTTTATGAAACACAACCCTGGTCAGGTACGTATTCTGAAGAATTAACTTTGCATAAGGACTCTTATTAAAGCAGTTCCTTTCTCAGAAGGAACAGACTATTGTAGAGATGTCAATTATTGGTAATACAGTATGAGTTGTGGTACATTTCATGAAAACTTTATGAAGCCTCCTCAAATTATTTGAAGAACATGTAAACACATATTGAGAATTTTATTACTTTTTATGACATGTATAGTTCACTCTGCTTTAGTTAACGAAACATGGGTCTTATTTTCACCTTCATTTGAAAACGCAGCGAATGGGGCATATATTATTTGCTATTTTAGTTTTAATTTCTAAAGACTCGTTACATTTGGATGTCCCAGTTCAACTTATGCAGGGTCAACTGTACATGTATATGTATTCATTCTTCATCTGTGATGGAATAATTTAAGTAAGATTTGAAGAAAAAACAGAGACTCAAATGAAATACAACAGACTCATTTGTGTTTAAAATCAGATGCATATTATATTACAAAATATTTTATACATGTATTACAAAATAGTTAAAATTATTCTTTCATTTGCTTTTAAACTACAGGTGATTGCAATGTTTACTCCCATCTTAATACTGAATCCAGAAACTTTCCAGCTGTTTTGGTATATCTTTATTTATGTTTTGTAGTCACTTATTTTGCATACATAATGTAGTTTTCGACTGGTTAATAGTCATTTATTTAATACAGTGGAAACTCGTTATTAAGATCTGATATAACAAAATATCTGATATAAAAAGGTAAAAAATCTGGTCTGAGTTCTTAATAACTTATTGGTTTTTTTTAACTCTGCTGTAAAGAGATTACTTCTATAACAAGGTATTTTTGATGGTCCCAAGCACCTCGTTATAGTGAGTTTCCACTGTAATAGTAATTTCATTCCAAGCTTTCAATACAACACACTCTAAACACTCCAAAAATTTACTAATTATTACAATACATTGATCATTGAGTTAAGTTTACAGTGCACATTTCTGAAGGGTTTATACATGTAAATTCTATTACATAACATTCGTACAAGTCTTCAGAGGGTTAGCATATTTCCAGGTGCTAGGCAGTGAGATCACACAAAGGAAATTCAAAGAAAAGAATTTCAAATGAGGAAAGGAACCTTATAAATAGGGTTCGCGGGCGCACGTAGCCATCTTTTCTTTTGTGTGTGGCAGTAAGAACACCTATTTTCTTTCGACAGTACATGCAGACGGACTTCGACATGCAGACGGAGATTTTCGAGCAGGGAGCCGATGAGTCGACGGGGACTGATCCGGCGGAATCCCTGGTGGGCAAAGTCGCCGCCCAGTCCGCAGAACTTAGGAAGCTTTCTTCCAAGATGTCTCGGTTTATGGATGTTATGTCCACAAATCAAAATGAGACAGTCCCACGTGCGAAGCATGGGGGCGATTTACCTGATGATGACTTGCTCAGCATTTTCGCTGATAACAGTGTATCTATTTGTTCGTCGCCAAGCAGGGCGGATAGTTACGACCCTGAGTTGGATCTATTGGAGACACCGGGTGTGGTGGAATCGAATGTAGTTTCGAGTTTCTTTCCACCCGATTGTGACCTGTATAAGGGCACATTGGATTTCAGATCGCCTGTGTCTGATAGCCTGGCGGCTCGCATGACCAAAGCAGTAACGCTTCCTCCGAAGAAGGAAAGCATTGAGAAGATTGCTACTCAATATCTTACACCGGAGAATGCTCCAGCGGTTTGCACGCCGAGGATTCCCCAGGAACTGTGGGGCTCAATTCCACCGAATTATCGTGCTGCCGATAGTCGTGCACAGAAGTTGCAGACTCATATTGTGAAAGGTTTGCTTCCCTATGCGGAGATTCTTTCAGAGTTACAGAGCGCGGCTTCGGAGAAGCGCGATGTGGATACCAACCGCATTAAGCGTCTCGCCCTCGACGGTATCACACTAAGCGGTTTTGCCTCCTACGAAGTGAGCATGAGGCGTAGGGAAGAATTGAAGCCCTCTTTTAACCCCAAGTACAAGGGTATTTGCAGCCGTTCAGTATCGGTATCTGAGGGCCTCTTTGGAAGTGAATTTCAAGCGACCCTTAAAGGGGTCGGAGACTCGTTTCTGGTCAGTCAGAAAATTTCGCCTCAGAACTTCAGGGGGCGTGCCAAGCGCAACTATCAGCGACCAGCCCCATATCGGCAGGACAAGCGGGATTATTCTCGTTTTTCGAGGGATCGCAACAGCAGCCCATCTGGATTTAAGGAGTTTCGCGCCCCAGCGACAGTTTCCAAGGCTCCACAGTCCAAGTACAACGCAGATCGGGGCAAGTTTAACAAGCCCGGTTTCCCAAAAAACTAGTAAGTGACCTTTCCCAGTCAGGGAGACTCAGGTTTTTCAAAGATGAGTGGTCGCGTCTGACGTCTGATTCTTGGGTTTTAGACGCAATCGGTGGTTATAAAATTGATTTTTGCTCTCTTCCTTTTCAACGTTGCTCACCGAGCAATTACGTTGCCTCTCTTATAGAGAAGGAAGCAATTAGTAGGGAGATTGTTTCCCTTCTCGAGAAAAATGCAATTAGAAAAACATCTAGACAGGACCTTGTTTTCTTGTCTTCTATTTTCACGATTCCGAAGAAATCGGGAGAACGCAGACCAGTCATTAATTTGAAAAACCTGAACACTTTTGTCAAGTATGATCATTTTAAAATGGAAACGTTTAAAAATGTTCAAGATCTGATGATGCAATCTGATTTCATGACCTCAATTGATTTGAGGGACGCTTATTTTTCAATCCCGATTCATGAAGATCATCACCGTTTCTTAGGTTTTTCGTGGGAGAAGGCCTATTATTGTTTTCAATGTTTACCATTTGGACTAAGCTCAGCACCTAGAGTATTTACAAAAGTTTTGAAACCGGTGATGGCCGCTATAAGATGCAGGGGCATTCGTTCTATGATTTATTTGGATGATATAATTATTTTCGCTAATTCGAGGCAAGCAAGTCTCGAGCACACTAGTTTTGTGTGTAATTTATTATCATCTTTGGGATTCGAAATAAATTTCGAGAAGTCTTGTTTATCCCCTAAAACTGACACAACTTATCTGGGTTTCTGCATTGATTCGGCTAGTATGTCGATAAGTTTACCTGGTGAGAAGGTGGAGAAATTGAAATCAGTAGGAAGCTCTATTCTAGCTTCGAATCGGGTCATTGTTCGGGACCTTGCGAAGTTCATTGGCATTATTGTTTCTTCCTTTGAGGCCTTTCCAAAAGGGAGGATTCATTACCGCAAATTGGAATCTTTCAAAACTAAAGCGCTTGAATCTTCAGGTGGGAATTTCGATTCTTTTGTGTCTCTCAATACCGACGCATTATGCGAAATTCAATGGTGGCTCTCGATCCCATCGGATGCATTCACTACACCCGCTAAAATGCCTCCTGTCAGCATCACATTACGTACAGATGCAAGTAGCACGGGATGGGGAGCTTTTTGTGAGAATGATTATTCATTTTCTCAAGGGGTTTGGTCATCTAAATATGCCGATCTACATATTAATGTTCTGGAATTGCTTGCAATTCAACACGCATTATCATCATTATGCAATTCACGGATGAATGCCCATATTTATATTAAGTCTGATAATAGTTCCGCCGTATCTTATATTAAGAAGTTTGGTGGGCGTATCTCCATGTTAGATGGAATCTCCCGGGCCATTTGGTCATGGTGTTTTGAACGTAATATTTGGCTTTCTGCATCTCACCTGGCTGGGATTGCAAATATTGAGGCAGACACGCTTTCACGTAGAGATCTAAACAAAGAGCTTCATCTTTGTCCCGATAGGTTTTTCTCTATTTGTCAGCATTTCAATGTATGTCTCGACGTTGATTTGTTTTCTTCTCGTTTCAACAATCAATTACCATGTTATGTAACCTGGAAGTATGACCCTTGTGCTTTTGCAGTAGATGCTTTTACCATCTCTTGGAATGCATTGAACATATATCTCTTTCCTCCTTTTTGTCTTCTTACTAGGGTCTTGCAGAAGCTTCGGGAGGACAAGGTGGACATTGCCCTTCTAATCGCTCCTTTGTGGCGAGCCCAGCCATGGTATCCCATGATCCTTCAGTTACTTGTCGCCCCACCCCTTCTCTCTCGTGGGACATTCAAACCCATTCCCAAACCTCAAGCTAACCGCCTGGATTATCTCAACAAAGGTTGGTGCTCAGCGGGCCTTTCGGAACACGCTTCCAGCCTCATCGCCCTCTCTTGGCGAGATGGAACCAACAAACAATATGAATCGGCTTGGCAACAGTGGCTTCGCTGGGTGATTCACAATCGCTTGATCCCTTTGACTCGTGTATTGTAAACGTGATTAATTTTCTTAGTGCTCAACAGGGTTTAGGAAAATCCTACTCTACTATTAATTCTTATCGTTCTGGCCTTTCTTCTGTACTACCACCAATGGAAGGCTTTCCAGTTGGCAAGCATCCCATGGTAATAAGATTATTGAAGGGGATATTTAATGCAAACCCTCCTAAACCAAGGTACCAAAGCACGTGGGAAGTCTCCAGGGTTTTGGATTATTTGTGTTCAATGGCAGAAAATTATCAACTTTCTTTGTTTCATTTGAGTCAAAAACTTGTGTCGTTAGTCGCACTTGTTACAGCGCAACGTACACAGACTCTCAATCATTTAGATATCTCTTTCATGCACATTTCAGATGATCGTGCAGTTTTTCAGGTCATGGATGTCTTAAAAACGACTACTCCAAAAAAGGGTATTGCTAAGCAAATAGTTGAGCTTCCTTCTTTTCCTTCGAATAAGAAGTTGTGTGTTTTGTTAACTCTTAAGGGATATCTTAATCGTACCAAACCTCTTCGTGAATGTCATGGGGAAACGAAGCTCTTTATTTCAACTAGAAAACCTCACAAATCGGTAACCTCCAGTACTTTGGCAAGATGGTTAAAATTCTCTTTGTTTGCTTCAGGCATTGACACATCAGTATTTTCGGCGCACAGTTTCAGGAGTGCCGCTACTTCTTCTGCTTTCGCTCATGGGGTCACCTTGAAAGAAATAATGAAGAAAGCTGACTGGTCAAATGCCCGAACATTCAAAACCTTTTACCACAAACCCGTCGTTGAAGATGGAACTTTCGCTTTTTCGGTTTTAGCTCAAGCTTCTTGAAATTTATGTTCTATATCATGACATTATCACGAAAGAGGGCTCTATGTTAAATGAGAAGAAGGTTCGCTTCTCTTTGGTAATCAATTTTTGGTACAGTTCCATTAAAGGAAAATCCTAGGTTACTAGAGATGTATTTACATGATTCACGTGATCGTAGTTTACTTTTAAGCAAGACTGATTTAGTCAAGGAGATCTGAGTAATCCTTTTATGCTTCATTATTTTTGAGGTTCGTGTTATGATTAAAAATTTGATACACCTGCAATTCAAGTGTTGGTTGTTTATTCATGTAAGTTCGTCTTTTTTCAGATTCTGTGATCTGCTCTTTGAATATGCTAACCCTCTGAAGACTTGTACGAATGTTATGTAATAGAATTCCTAAATTATGCAAATAACATGAAGTATAATTAGAATTCTATTAATAATAATGAAGTACAAGTCGAGGAGGGTCCCTCCCTTCAAGATCTTTTGCTGAAGATTCCCTCCCTTCTGGATTTTTGTTATTGTTCAAATCACAGAATCTTCTCTCTTTTTTAATTGGGAGTGTATATATCCTGGCTTCATGTCTGTTTGGACTTTAGCTGTTGTTTGACAGGAGTTATGTTTTGATTGATTGGATATGATCGATTGTAGTTTTTGTTTGATTGATTATGATTGATTGAATGGATTTGATCTATTGTAGCTTTTGTTATGATCAATAATATGATATTTCGGTTTTTGGACAAATATTTACTCTGTTTTGGGGAGAGTTTTTCGTTTGTTGACACCTCTTCCTTCTTTGAAAAGATGGCTACGTGCGCCCGCGAACCCTATTTATAAGGTTCCTTTCCTCATTTGAAATTCTTTTCTTTGAATTTCCTTTGTGTGATCTCACTGCCTACCACCTGGAAATATGCTAACCCTCCTCGACTTGTACTTCATTATTATTAATAGAATTCTAATTATACTTCATGTTATTTGCATAATTTAGGAATTTTCAGATGTGAACAAAAGATGAAATGAATTTATATGTATATCATGTAAATCTTTTAAGTGCAGACATTTAAAACTTGCATGAACAATAATAAAATTCTTGAGTATGGAAATAATGTGTGGCATCTTTGGTCATTATATTTGACTTTGACAAGCACTAAATCAAAGTGATGATCGGATGATTGATTTTTGTGGTAAACTTGTGATTCTAATAATCACATGACAATGATTAGCATGGAAAAGATGATGGCCTGTTGATGGTATGGTAACGGTGAAAGGTTTAATTTACACCTAGTACCTGTACACGAAACAAGTTTGATATCCTGAAGTACAGTCAACTCTGCCCAAGTCAACATCTCTACGTCAGAGAATTGAATAAGTTTATGCAATTTTTGAAGAAAAAAAATCATTCAAAGCCTTGTTATTGACCTGTTCTAAGTCTGTTTTTTTTTAATCCAGGAGATTTTTGTCAAACCAAGAGACTAGACTTAGGCAGAGTAAACTGTATTTAACAAATCTTCTTTCACTTATTTGGCACCTACTTTTTTTAGTTCAATTAAGATATTTCAACAAATCTTAATACAAATTTTAAGTACAGGTAAATATTAAATATTAAATTCCAAGAACACATAAGTGTATGTGTGGGTGTGTTTGTGTATGTTTGTATCTGTGTTAATCTGCTTGTAATAATTTGTTGAATTGACCCCATGCGTGAGTATAGCCCCCCCCCCTCCCCCCCCCCCAAAAAAAACAACAACAATTGTTTGGATGTTCAATGAATCCCACCCTTTTTTTAATGATGTGGTCAGAATTGTTTACTTTATTGTTTCTTAAAATTATTTTTAACACATTCTTATGTAAATTTATTTAGAAAAGAAAACAAAGGGCAATGAATTAAATCTTTACTTTTTAATGTGAAAAACATGAACAGGCTGTTAACAAAGGGTCGGTTCATGGATAACATCCAAAGAATTTGGGGGCTCTCACCATAAAACACCTTAAACAATGTAGAAATCAAATCTAATTTCAATATCCATCCGAAGAATCATCAATGTCCATTGGTATTTCTTCTGAATTTTCATCCTCGGTTTCTCTCGACTCACTTTGCTCATTTATGAGAAGGGGTTGTAGATTGCATAACCCAGCACAAACAATTAAAATGTCATCAACATTTTGAACGGTCGCTGGAATTATGCTGCTTAAAATCTTGAAGCACTTCAAGCGTCTAATAGCCCTTTCCACATGAATCCTGACATTGGCTATACGTCTGGTTTCTGTAACACATTCTTCAGGAAGTCGTCTATCCTTAAATCCTCTTGTAAAGGCTGGAATTGAGAGCTTGACTCCGGCCGGCAGCATATCTTCTATCGTAAATCCCCTGTCTGCTAAAACTTCATCCCCTGGAAGTAGATGTTCACCAAACCCACTGTTTTTGGAAATGAAAGTGTCGCTTGCCCGTCCGCCGAAGAGTTTGGAAACGTATGTTACAAAGCCATTAGGTGCGATACAATATAGAGCCTTGTAAGTATTGTGGCTTTTGTAATTGGAATAAGTTTGTGCCCGCTTTTTTAGATTAGCTGGTCTTTGGACAAATATTTCAGTGCAATCTATTATACAGGTCGCTTTGGGGTGGCAAGAAGCAAAGCTTTGGGGTCGAATTCTTGCCAGAGTGTCGCGTGCTGGCAAGAAGATAATGTTCCCTTTCATATATTTAGCCATTATTGTCAGCCATGTAGAAAAGATTGTACGTACCGTAGTCCTGGAGACACGAAATCTTGCAGCAAGATCAGTGAACATGAGGCCTAATCGAAGTCGCATTAGAACAAGCAAAATCTGATCGTGCACTGCCATTTGAAAATTTGGAAGTGATGGAAGTGTCATGAGAAGTGAGTTGATAAAGGCCCAAAACACAGCTGTATTCAGTCCTGTGTAGAATTTTAGGACCCCATCATTCATGTCTTTTGCCGATACTTCTGGACAACGTTCGGTTTGACTTGCTTTAGTGTTTTGCAAATTGCATATCTTTGCATATGTGTGGTCTTCGAGGGTGACATCCCTCCACTGAGAGTACGAATTTTCCAGCTTTGGTCCATCTGTCTGTGTAGATGTGTGATATATACCCTCCTCTGCACTCTCATCGGGATCATTCTCTGGCTGCTTAGGAAGTGGTTTCTTGTCAGCTGGTGAGTCTGTAGATTTGGATGGTGTCCGTTGTTTAGGAAGTGGCCTTCCAGGAGACAATGTTTTCTGTTGGGAAAATGTATTAAAAGCTGTTATAAAAATAGATAACATATTAATCTCCTTATGTTCCCTTTTCAGCATCACACATGCCACATTTGTCACAGCATCTGTAATCTTGTCCTTATCTTTTTCTCCATAAATATATAATTTTCAATGATAAAACATGTCCTATATACGTGTATGTTTTAAGCAATGTTATCTTTTCTAAAATCAACAAAAACTACTATGGGCCTTCAACCTAAACATAATTCCATTTGAAAATAAATGGGTACTTTCTCAATGTAATACATGTAGGTATTTTTAAGCAATAACAAAATTAATAATAATACATGTATTATCAATTCACTCACAAAGTTCTTGTAACCCATGCACTGGACTGGATATGGATGGTCCGCAGTTGGTTTCCCATCTTCGAAATGAATTGAACACAACTGTGGGAGAAAAAAAAACACAAAAACATGAAGGTGGTTATGCCTGAACTAATAAGATATTTATTAGTTTTTTTTTTTTTTTTAAATCCATGCGCGTTTCCATTATGCCTATTTGACATAAAGGGTGGGGGAGGGGGGGGGGGGTCAGCTAGTTCTGGCACCCCGGTAGTGATGAGAAATTTTGCACCCCATCATAAAAGATTCTAAGCAATTTGCCCCCCCCCCCCCGATCGAATCAATAAGCTGATAACCCCCACCCCCCCCAAAAAAAAAAAGTTTTAAACTTTTTTTGGCCCCTTTGGTGTCCAAAATTTTTGTACCCCCTTGTGTATCCCGGGGGGACGAGCCCCCCCCCCCCCCAAAAAAAAAAATGTCATCAATATAGATGAAGAGCTTTCTGCTTTGCTCTTTTGTGAATATTCAGTGTGATGATATAATTCTTTATTCACTCATTTTACTTTACTTCTTTATTTTGTTTGTAAATGTTTGAATATTTCGATAAATGTAAAGATAGATAACTCACCCTGCTGTTCGGATTTGGTGTAAAGTTCTTGCGATTTAGGTTTTTCAACCATACTTTAAGTTTCGCGGCACTATCAGCTGAAATTCCATTTGGAAATCGGTGCATTTGATAAGGCTGTGAACACTCGCATTCATCGTTGGACAAAGGAGAATGGATTTCGCACATCGAGATTTTCCATTTTTTTAGTTTTTTACTATTGTTCGTACATCCCACAACCGCACAGTGTTTTCCTGTTCCTTGCTTTGTTTTTTTCATTGTAGAAAAGTCCGAATCAAAACTGTTTTATCAAACAAAAGAACCTTGACGAAAAAGTTCACTTCGATCACGGCACGAGTGCACAACAACAAAGGGCTAGCTGGAGCAGAGTTGTGAGTTCGATCTTACGGTACGGAGGCACTCTCACCACACCGCCAGTAGATGCGGGCCTAAGTACGAACGAGCTCTCGCTCATTCAACTTTCCCATTCAGGTGCTATCCAGAAGCCCCCCAGCTGCCCCCCAACTGTAGCGCCACTTACGGCGGCTTGCGTGGAAGGTCGCCCAAATTATATTTGTGTATATCTTACAATAAATTCACTCTTTGAAAGTCTGTATTTTCAGATTTACCAAAACTATATCCCAGCTAAGATAGGTTATGGGGTGTGATCGAGAGGACAAAAGTGCTTTATGTTCGTTGGAGAGAGAGAGAGAGCTTGTTTTCATTTTGGGATAGTCTTTTAAAGATAGGTTATGGGGTGTGATCGAGAGGACAAAAGTGCTTTATGATCGTTGGAGAGAGAGAGCCCAAGTTACTTCCAATTACAGTTTCCTCGAACCTGTCATTTTTGTTTTATATTCAACCCTAACTGCACGAAGAAAAAAAAAAAAAAAAAAAAAATGGTGTATACCATTTTGTTTTGCCATTTGTACTTGAATGCACATATTTATCATTTAATTGTCTACAGCACCCTTACATTGATTCATGGTTTATTTATGTCCATGTTCGTGTCGTGGTTCTGCAATAAAAAAAATTAATTGTTCACAATAATTGTCTGTTTCAGTTATTTACTGCAGGGGCCACAGAACCGGGGAGGAGTTGGGAGTGCCCATTCCCTCCTCCTCCACATACACCCAAAATATTCAAAATTCTGTGGCCCCTGTTCAGGAACTAACTCCCGCCTGATCCTACGGGATAATAAAGGGGCCTGGGCAGGGCCTTGGGGGCAGTTCCCAATGGCGCTCAACCAGGGTTGTGTGTTTGTGGTGGTTTTTATTTCAGAACTGTGTGTGAAAATCAAAGATACTTATAACGAGTATGAGGTGTTTTTTTTTGGGGGGGGTGATTTAGTTGAATGTTAATTTAGGCTGTACACGATTTGAAATTGTTAGAATGGACATCAGACACTCAAATTATGTGAAAAGCAGTGTTTTTGGCAATAACAAGGCTTACGCACGGAAAAAACGCGCGCATCCGCGATTTTTTGAGAACTTATTAGGATAACCTAAAAACGTATATGCAAAATCAATTTTAGACGGTTTGTAGCATTTTTAGTTTTTTTTTAGAATTAAAGCACAATGACCGTATAACCGTAGGCCTACTTTGTCCCACGTCCGTTGCATATTGCAGGCGGTGATGAAGATGGTGATGATGATACAGACCTAGTAATGATTGCATTTTAAAAACCATACTTTCTTCTCTTTAAAGGGATCGTTTAACAATGTTAAATCTGAGATACACGGCCCTACGTGTTATCATTGTCTGTGATATGGTGTAATATTGAAGCCCTAAAAAAATTGCGATTCAAAATGATCAAGAAGTGCCTCAAAAAAGTAAAAACCTTTGAGTGACCGGTTTTACCATACTCGTTTTCCCCAATAGACTGTAGTGTTATGAAAACCGTCAGGCGAACGGTTTTCAAAATTTGTAATTCCAATCATAAATATCTTGATAATCAGACAGGCGATCGGCTTGTAAAAGTCATGGGGTTCCTGACTGACCTAAAGGTTTATAATTATTATTGCATCATGAGCTAAATCCAGAATTTTGTCTCAGAATCTGAGACAAAGTTACCGGATCCCTTTAATTTACAGAAGAATCCTGACTCGAATACCTGTTTCATTGACAGAATGGTAAGAAAATTAATATTGCCTTCCCAGTTCAGTGGCAGATCCCGGGGGGGGGGGGGGGGGGGGGGGGGGGGCTAGGAATACTTTCTTTATTGTAATTATTCATAAGATATTTGTTCTTCTTTACTGCGATACATTTGATTTCCTTTTCTGCTTATTTTCATACCGATTGGTTTACAGGCTGAGAAACTGTGGGATCCATCAATGGACCTATTTGAACCTGAGGATGAGGATGGATCTGTGGTAATTATCATTTATTTCAGTCCTATCAAATAATTTAGTTTTTAGTTACTTCTATTGCTATACTAATGGATGATTTTTGTTTGTTGTCATAAAGAGAATATGTTGGGTTTTTTTTCCTTAGATTATTTTGGATGACACTGAGCCGGAGCCGGAGAGACACGTGGCTATTCCTGAGGGACACGAAGTAAGTATTCTTATCATTGAAATAGTAATTGTTTTATTTATTTTGCTCATACACTTGATGTCTCATTATCAATATATTTTTCCTCCTCAGAGCGATTCGGACGAGACCAAGATAGACTCCGACTACGAGAATCTTTCGTGAGGAGGAGGAGGAATTGGAAGAAGAAGTAGTGAGTGAATAAAATGTTTAATAAATTTGTGTGTGTGTGTGTCTATTTAGCCCTATTGTCGTGTTTGTTAATTCAAAGTTTACGATGAAAGCGAATATGCATTTTTTTCCTGCTTTTACATTTCATAAACAGCAGTGTTCTCTCTCTCTCTCTTTTAATCACTTTCTAGAAATCCAAAGTGAAGGATATGGCAACACAGACCGTCATCACAATGGAATGTATGGAATGGCTGCAATCAACGTCCAGATCAATGCACTTCCTAATGAGTACTAACTCGCCGGAAACATAATTTGTATAATTAATTGGCATTAATTCGTCGACCTAATCATTAATAACGAGGGATCATATGATTTTGTAATCATTCATTAATTCATGTAATTATTCTTTAATTTCTGCGAGCTTGGCATTAATTCGCCAATGTGATCATTCAATCATACAACCAATCATGGGTTGCATAGGAGCAACGTCCTCGTTCGTGCAACCTGGATGTGAATGATGGTTTTATTTACAGTGGTAGATCCGGAGGGGGGGGGGGGGTGCGCAAGAGGCGTGTGTCCCCTATTTTGATAAACCACGCATTGGCCGAATATGGTAATGTAAGAAAATTTTCCGTCTGCGCCCGCCCCACCCCAAATTTTTAAATCCTGGAACCATCACTGAATTAGCAGCCATCATGAACAACTGATGCTCCTCAGTCATTAACTAAGTAATCATTTGGTTTTGAACATGATATTGAAAGGGAAATCATTTCACCTCGACCTCTCCCCAAGGCTCCAACTGGCTCCATGTTACTGTGTCATGCCCATAACATCAGCATTACAATCACCCTAGGATGTTATGCTGTATCCATAAGCAACAACAATTTTTTATTTGACACGCCCTCTTCAACGATGTAGGTCAGATAGAAATGATGAATATTCATGCCATTGCTAATCCTGATCCCTGTCTACCTTGATACTTATTAATGGATGCCCAAGAAAATTTCGGACCAATCGGTGCTCAGATAAATTTGGACCAATAGCCCCCCCCCCCCTCTCTCTCTTTCTCATTTGCTCACCTCTCCTCCCTCTCTCTCTCTCTCTCTCTCTCTCTCACACACACTCCTTAGCTCATCTCCCGCTCCCCCCCCCCTCATTCTTCTCATGATTTTTTTGTTTATCTGCTCCCCCTTTCTGGCCCATTAGATATTTGTACGCTGCAAACAGACACAAATGAAAATATATTTATTTCATGGATATCAAGTTGTTGTTTTTCGGAGCTTCTGTTACTACACGCAAAAAACTGAGGTGCTAAATGTTGGGTGCTGAGTGAGATTCTACACTTGAAGTGCCAAAATCAGCACTTGACGGGTTAACTTTAACAAGGAAACCGAAACGTGCTGAATATTTGAGTGCAGAAAACGAGTGCTATAACAATATGCAGCACTTAACATCGAGTGCTGACTGCATAACCTGATCTGATTGGTCGGTTAGTATAATAGCTGGGATCCAGATTTGTCCAGACTTGTTCCTCGCGTGCAAGTTTGCTGCACTGGCTCGATGGACCGGCCTGCGGTTCGCTAGGCTAGCTGCGCGGGTACGTGCCCGGTCGGGGGCCAGGGCCAGGATGCCCAGCCAAGCGGAGCACGCATGTGCACCACACAACGTTTGTTGCTTCTTATCCTGCATATAGCAGCAGTCAAAGGGGTCAAAGCGAGGTAAGCAATCAAATAAACCAAGTTCAGGTTTAAGTTATAATTAAATTAAAGGCTGCTTTTCTAGTATAGACTCTAGTCAAACTTCGAAAATGGGATATATTTGCTATAAGTGTCATTTGATTATTCCAGGGCCTGTTGGAAAGTTGATCAGCCATTTACATATTGCTCATGCGTTGTTTGACATGCCCCATCTACATTTGGTATGTGGTCAAGGTGGATGTCTTTCGTCATTTACCACTTTCAACTCTTACAGGAAACATTTATTAAACCAACATCCACAAGAAGAACCTGAACCTGAAGTTGTACAGGGTATGGAGGGTCTAGTTGATGCTGATTTGGGTTTTGCTGTTGGTGAAGTGCATAATCCTGCAGCAGATGATGCATTTGATGATGATGATGATAGGATAGGCCTACTACAAGAACAAGATGGAGCAATGCATAATGACAGTACAAGACCAGCTGCATTTTTCATTGGTTCTCTTTTATCAAACACCAACATGACCCATGCTATGACAAACAGAGTGTTATCTGCTGCAACAGCTTTGAATACTGATGTTGTTGACAGTTTAAGGAGCAAAGTTATTCAGACTTTTGAGGCCTTGGGTATTGACCTGGAGAATGAAGAATGTAAGAATCTCTTAGCTGAATTTGATTCAAAAACAAATATCTTTCATGGGCTAGAAACAAGATACAAACAAGAGCAATTTTTTGAGAACATTCTAGGGCTAGTGAAACCCAAATCTATTTTTCTAGGCTTTCGCAATGATTCTCGGACTGACGGTGAAAGTGGTAAATCCAAAACAGTACCTGTACCAGAAACTTTCCAGTATATTTCAATATTATCAACTCTAGGATTGGTACTTGGGGAAGAAACAAACTAAACGTACGTCGTATGTACGTTTGAAAACAAAACGGGTTTCATAAAATAACGCCAGGGCACACATTTGTCTTTAGCCTTTAATAATAACTTTTATACTAATTGACTCGAGAATAGGCCTACACTCACACACAAATTCTCGGCAAAAATGCATTACGCTGTGGCCTTAACATCTTCCCAATCATCATTTTACCACCTAATAGCATATAGTTTTTATCATGATTTTACTTTTACCTTTATTTATGATGACCCAGTTTATTTCGTTATTTTTAATTGT